AGGAACTGGTGAGTCATCGCTACAGCCTAGAAGCGGCGATTGATCCAAATTGTGAGTACGACATACGAGATACTTTATCCAGAGGATTCACGTGAGTTTTTACAAAAAATATTCATTTATTGAATAATTTACGAAGTTGTGGTTCCCCCTCTTTTCTCTTTTACTTTTTGCCTTTGTCGTGAAAATGCCTCGTCCGACTAACTCGCGTAGTGACGCTGAACGTGCGGTACGGCGATACACTCGTATTAAAGGGAGAGTTGAACAATTTAAAAAATTATTAGCTGAAGTAGATCGCGCTAGTTTTCTTGATGTTAAAAGAGTAAAGGTTAGAATTGTCGAACTCAATAAGGACATGGCAATACTTGACGAAATAGTAGAAGAAAATCCCGAAAATATTGAACAGTCATTAGTTGATGAAATTAATATAAATTTCCAAATCGCTCTCGATATCAAAGCCGAAGCCGAGGCAATAATAGATAGATTCGACACAATAAGTACGCAGCATAAAAATTCACCTGCCGCGAGTTCAAGTTCTCACACGGGTATTTCAACTAGTAATTCGTTCATAGACAATAATTATAAAATGCCAGCGGTGCAATTGCCTCATTTCGACGGGCAACACGAAGAATGGCCGAGCTTTGCGGACTCATTTCAATCATTAATAGGAAGGAATCCGGGCTCGATAGGATGCAGCTTCGTTCGAGAGGAACATTGCGTAACGAGCCGCGTGCTAATAGTCCGCGAAACTGGCCGCGAAGTATCGACCGAAGAAGACAACAAACATTTCAAGCTTATTCCACTCGTACCCCAATCTCGTGTGGTATCTGTCGCGGTGAACATTATGCGTCAGAGTGCGAGCAATTACTTCGAGCTGTACCTGAGGATCGCAGAGAAATCGTGGTTAACGCCAATCTATGTTTGAATTGCTTATAAGCTGGTCATCGTGTTAACGCATGCAGGAAAGGTCGTTGCAAGAAGTGCAACGGCGGACATCATGAATTGTTGCATGCAAGGGAGACCGTTGCGGCAAGCGCAACGGTGGGCACCACGAATGAATGCGTCCAAGAGGTACCGCGAGTGCAAAATGCACATGTAATTCTCAATAACTCGCAAGCACCTGCATTGTTATTAACGGCGGTGGTGCATTTGTTGGATTGCGACGGTAGGCCACACGATAGTAAAATTTTAGTTGCTGATGAAGTCCTAAAAAAGGGACGAAACGTTCAACYTGTTCGAAAAAAATCGTTCATAAAGATTTAATAACCGTCCAAATTCTCTGTGATACATATATAAATATTATAGTTCTGGACAAGATTATCGATAAATTAAATTATTTATTAGTTTCTTGAGGTTAACTGAGGTATGTATTATTTTATATACATTTAGTTTCTTTCATTTAAAATTGTAGGATATTACCTTGACGAGATTTTACTTAGACTTACTATTCCTTAAAAACTATTTTACGGTGAGGCCTAACATCCTCTTCTTATTTTACTTTTAAAATAAACTAGATATTATTATATATAGTTTTGTTGAGGTACTGGTGCCTTGCTCGATACTACGTTATTTATTTATCGCAAATAATAATGATGTATTATGTGATATCGATTGCTGTTGCGTTGTCGTTCGTTGTTGCGTCGTGATGTGCTAAACGATGATTCGACGATGCGCTGCTTGATGATTTCGTCGTTTGTAGATTCGTGATTTAGGGCTAATGATGATTGCGTGATCTTTTTCGTTGGTCCGCTGCGTCGTCCGGAGGTAATACGAGTTCGAAAATTCGTTCTTCGCGATGTTTATTGATCGATTGAGATTGTTGAATGCTCCGCTAAATTTTAAATGTTTCAACTGTTCTAGGATAAAGGTTTGCCTACATAGTCTTAATATTACAATTTACATGAAAGTCAAAAAACATTTCCTATTTAAACCGCTAACCCACATTTTTTATACTTGAGATTAAATATCTAACGAATTTTTGTATACCTTAGAAAGCACTAACATATTTTCCTAAGTTGTGTATTTAGAACATATTAGATATATTTATAATTTGTAAACATTCAAAGAAGACTCGATAGAACTCAGAAAAATAAATAAATATATTTCAAATTAGATAATTCAAAATTAGAATCTAAAGATATATAATATAATTAACGCTACATTATGTTCATATTTTTATTTAACAATGAGTAACATTAACGAATAAGTATGTGACTTTTCCAAATTTTAAATAAAATTTCGTTAGAAAACTAATTATATATTTTATTATTTGGTTACAGATAGATTCTATGACGTATTATTCGTTTGATTATTTTATCTGATTAATTTCTCTATCTACTTTTCGCAACAATTGTTATATAATTGTTTCATATTCTAGAGAAAATATATTTATTTATCTGTACTTTTATCTGTACTTGAGATGCCATCAATAAAGGAAAAAGTCCTTTCATTGAACCAAGTAAAGATTATAAAACAATACAATATTAAATACAATACAAATACAAGTTAATTTACAAATATAAAATAATTACAATACAAATTACACAATCCAAATTATTATACATATACAATATTAAAACAAAACATTACAATGCATACCCAAAAAGATTTGAAAAAATAGAATATTTCTTTTCATAATCTTGTTTTACCAATTTAATGTTGTTTACAAATTTTCTGGTAAATAAAAAAAATTTGTGGATTAGGAAAAAAATTTTTTTTTAAGAATAAAATAATCAAAAAAAAGATTACATAAGTTTACATTTCTTTAACTTGATATTTGTTTTTCCATCTTTGGTTTTCAATCTTCTGACTGCAGAACCATCATCTCTTTTATTCCAAGATTTCTATTGTAGACAATAATAAATTAACATCTTACTAAATATTAGGTTAGGGTAAAAGAAATCCATTATTTTTACATGAACTTCAAGACTTTATTTAACATGTTTTGGATTGTCCGATTTTGGTTAAATATGGACCGTTTTGTTCTCTAATTTGTTGCTATTTTAAAGATAGCTTCATAATGCCCCTTTGTTGAACAACTCTAAAAATTGATTTTTGCAATCTTCTCTTGATGTCAATTTCTTATCACTAAAGAAGTTGTGCAATGCAAGGAAAAAATGGTAATCGCTTGTTGCCAGGTCTTAACTATATGGTGGATGCATCAAAACTTTCCAACCAAGCTCTTAGAGCTTCTGGCGAGTCACTATAGATGTGTGTGGCCTGGCGTTGTCCTAATGGAACACAACACATCTCTGTTGGCCAATTTTGGACGTTTCTGGTCAATCGCTAGCTTCAAACGATTCAGTTGTTGACAGTAGAGATTCGAATTTTTACGGATCCCATTTATTTTTATTTAAAAAAATTTTTTTTCTATTCTTTTTTTGTACTTTATTAGCGGTTACAATATCGAGACCATAAACACCATTCGTAATTTCAACCGCCTGGCTTGCATTTTCGCCTTTAGCAAAGAAAAACTAAAAAGTACCGAATTTTCTCTTCGTTAACTTTCATTTTTAACACCCTGTAACTCACAACTGAATGGACCAAACAAAAATCAGTTTTTTTGTGTGTGAAATGTCATCTATACAACGAGCATAAATCTGAAATTGCTTCATCTATACTTTACAAGATATCGATCTCTAAAGCCATCCATCGAAAAAATAATGAAATCCTTTTTCCTCAACCTAATATTTTAATAATAAATTCTAAATAAGATCAGCCACTGACTGAAATATTTCAAGTATGAAGAACTACTTTCGTAGTGTGCGGACTACGACAGAAGACTGAATACAGTTCTCCAACTGCCATGGATGGGCTCATGAAGCATGTGCAGACATTCCTGAATGTTCTGACGTCTACATATGTGATCGATGCCGAATGTGCTAAATATGTCCGGTGCTAGTGGTTCGAAGTAAAGTCTGTCCGATACTAGGTGCTATTTCCAGAAATCGTATATTTTTTCACCAAAGTTTAATGTCTGTTTTTAAATATGATTCTATAGAAGTTGTATTTTTGTTAATTTATATTGATTCTAAAATTTGTTGACTTACATAATTAATAAATAAAGTTACATTTTTTGAAATAGTTTTTATTTTATTTCTTGAAAATCTGAGGTATCCGCCACTGGGGGGACTTCCCCTATATATATGTATGATATTTTTCGTAGCCCCACTTTTTCACTCTTGATCTTTCTAAAATCTCTTTACTCTTAGCTGCTTAGACTTTCTTTACTCTTAAACTCTTCTATCTCTTAAATTCTTCGACTCTCTTATATCTTATCTTTTATCACTCTCTCCTCTTTATTCATTTCTTTTATATCGCCGCTTCTCGTATCCTCCAACATCCACGCTAAACACACGCATGTACTCATACTCTCTCATTTTTTCACACCATAACAACAGAGGACAACATTTCTTATAGCTCTACCTACCAGAAAAATATATTTAGTTATTCTCGAAATATTAACGTATATATTTAATAATGATCGTTCTCGATTATTTATATCCTAACGTTTCTTGTCTTTCTATTTATTCATACTGTTACTTATGAATTTTTCTCAATCCTATATATATATATATATGTCGGAATGGGAGAAGATTGAAGAAACATGTGCATCGATGTTTTTAGAAATATCATTAGACGATTTCTTCGTGAATACCGCCAAGGAAATATTGTTGCCATGATATGGTATGAGTATGAGTATAAGTGTGAGCATGTGTGAGTTTGTTGTCAGATGAAGGAGAAATAAATTATTTCTTTAGGCGAAAGTACGTATTGTTGTTTGTGACCTGACATCGTTTATCATCTAACCGAAACCTCTCGAACATTCTCGAAGCAGAAGGTTCTAGATTCCCTTATGAGCGAAAATAATCGAAAATTCGCGAAGGAACGGAACGAAGTGACGAAAAGCGACAGAGAGGGGTGATAAGTATATATAGGCAACAGAAAGTGCCAGTAGGCGCTCTTTTGATACGTGTGTTGACGTATAAGAACGACAGTGACGAATAAAAAGAATTAATTATATATAAATCAAAATGCCGCGTRTAATGATAAAAGGTGGTGTTTGGCGTAACACAGAGGATGAGATTTTGAAAGCTGCTGTAATGAAATATGGAAAAAACCAATGGAGTCGTATAGCCTCACTATTACATAGAAAATCTGCAAAACAATGTAAAGCACGTTGGTTTGAATGGTTAGATCCGAGTATTAAGAAAACAGAATGGAGCAGAGAAGAAGATGAAAAGCTTTTAC